GCTGATAATACTTTGTTTTGGAACTTATTTTGTTGACCATAACTCTAACAGTTTTGTGAAGTTTACTGTCTACATAGTATATTTCTTTATTCCTATTACTTTCAATCTGTTTCCCTTTATATTTAAAATGCATTGCATGTTGAAAGTGTATACTTGGACCTTGCTTTTATTTTATTTTATTTTATTTTTTTGGTACTGAGAATCAAACTCAGGACCTTGCACTTGCCAGGCAGGGCTTATACCGCTGAGCTATACCCCTGGCCTGACCTTGCTTTTTTTAGAGTCTAATAATTTCTGTATTATAACTGGAATGTTTTGTGCATTAACATTTAATGTAATTGTTGGTAAAATTTGGTTTAAATCTACCATGTTGATCTTTTGCTATTTGTTTTCTATTTATATCAAGTTTTTCTTTCCTTCCATCCCTCCTCCTCTGTTCTTTTCTCTCTCTCTTTTCTTTTTTTTCCTTCTTTCTTTATGGCTTTTTTTCTCCCTTTCTCTTATTCTTCCATTACTCTTCTTCTGTTTTCTTTTAGGATGATCAAATATTTTTTAGCATCACATCTTCATTTCTCTATTGATTTTTAATAATAGAAACATCTCAGGATTACAATATTGTACCTTGTTGTTGGATGCCTGAAAACAATGAAGTTGTATATTTTATGAATGACAGAGCTAACGCAGGATGAGTTATGCCATCATACTTAGTAGTGGAAGTTTTTGTTATCATTTCTTACATGAATTTTTAACATAGTTTTATGAAAATTACTCTGGCAAAGACATACAAAAGATTAAAGTATAAAGAATGACATACTTGCACGGGGGGAGTGCACGTCTGTAATCCTAGTACTTGGGAGGCTGAGGCAGGAGGATTGCTGCAAGTTTGAGATCAGCCTGGACTACAAAGTGAGCTCAAGGCCAGCCTGAACTGCATAGTGAGACCCTGTTTCAAAAAGACAAAAAAAAAAAAAAAAAAAGATAAATACTTTGCCAAAAGCCTAGTGTAGTGACACAGGTATTAAAGATGAAAAACTGGACTAAATACATAGCAGCAATAATTGAAAACTTTTTTAAAGTTAGAAAATAAATAAATCTTGAGCAACGTTTTGAAAAAGGGTGCATTAGCCAACTTTTTGATCACTGAGACACAATGCTCAATACCCACAGCCTCAAGGAAGAGAGGTTTCATGTGGCTCACGTTCTCAGGGAATTCAGTCCAAAACAGAAACATGGTGGTGGGAAGGCACGGTGATGCAAAACTGCTTCGTTCAGGACAGCAGGAAGCAGAGCAGGGGAACAGGGCCAGAGCAGAAGGGGTGGAAAACTAGATACAAAGCCCAAGGCCACACTTCTATGACCCAACTAACCAACTAACACACAGAAGCATGCATCACTAATGTCCCAGCTAGACTTCAAAGCCTATTAAGTTGACACTCCACCCAAATCAATACAGGAGCTTGACAAAGTAGAAAAAAGAATATCATTATTTAGTAATAGATCGGTGATAAGGTCTGAGAAAGTCAGAGAAGATGAGAACTGGTGTAAGCTTCCAGTTCTCATGGATAAGGAAAAAGAAGAATCTAGATTTGAGTGCAGGAAACAGAGTTGAAAAGGAACAGAAGATAATTTTATTTGGGGCGTGTTGTATTCAGTAAGGACCAAAAATGTATGATAGATATTGGGAAATAAGAAGAAAATGTTCAAATGGGAAGGGGAACAAGGGGGACGGGGAAAGGAAGGAAGGGAAAAGAAAAGAGAGAATAGAAGGAAAAAATGGAAACAAAGCTTTTGTAAATAAGGAGGGGAAGGAGGGTTGAAGGGAGGGGATGGAGAAAAAGAAGAATCAAGATATAGGTACAAATTCCCTATTATGAATATGATATAGGCAGATAGATAGACAGATAGATATCAATACAATCAATTACGAAGCAAAAGAAATCAAAGTGGAAACATCCTGAAGTCTCAGGGATATATGGGACTAGAGCTCAGATGACTGAGCTAGGATTTATGGATTTGAATTTGTCTTTCATCGAGGGAATATGTGAAATTAGGGGTTAGAGCGAGATGCCTCAGAGAATAAGGATGGGGAGAGACAGTGGGCACGGGGCAGAACGCAGAGCGCTGCAGGTCAGCGGGGATGGGAGTGGAGACTGCGGCTGTGGCTATTGCTAGGACTCAAACATGAAAATTAGAGAAGAGCGTGAGTGACTAGGAGACAGCAGGTGAGAACGCCTCTGTTTGACTGTGGGATTTGTTTCTTCTCTCAGTTCATTTAAATATATACTAAGCTTAAGGACAAGCTCTCAAAGCCTCTGCTGTGAACTTGCTTGTAATAGTAGATTAATTTGGAATGTCCTGCTACTCCCTTCCAGATATTTTCATTCAAAGGATATCAAAGCAGAAGCCGGTTTTAACTTCATTGGTATGAATTTAGAGACATAGCAAAGGCACTTATCTGCTCTTAGCTCTTTCTAAAGGCATGCATCCTGCTTTATATTTCCAGAGTTTAAAATTCTTCCTGATTTATACTGTCATTTTATTAAAAAAATTTTTTTTCTTTTTTTTACTATCACAAAACATTGAGCTGCATTTAATCTAGGTTCTGCTCCCCTAGCCAAGCTTCAAAGACAAGTATCATTTGGAAAATAGAATTACAGAGCTAATATAATGATCTGTATCCGTGGAGAATTGTCATTTTATTCATTTTTTAAATTTTTTATTTTAAAAATTAAAAAATACTTACAAAACAACAATGAAGACAAAGTCAAAACAACACAAAAACAACAAAAATGATTCATGACCTCAAAACAAAATGATAGGAATTAATGGTTGCTACATTACATACTGTTATCTTCAATGAAGTTGCTCAATGAACCAGATGTAAGAATGTAAGGTTGATCAAACAATCAAAGACAGTAACAAGTAATCATAAAAACAACAATTGGAAATGATGCAGATCACCATTCAAGATGGTAGGAGTTCAACAATGGTTCTTATACTGCATATTGTTTTCAGATATGCTGTCATTTTATATTAGCTGTTTGGAACAACCTTATGAGGTAGAGTGTGCAAGGCAGGTATATTAGCTCTGTGTCATATCTCAGTGGGAAAGGCTAGGCTCAAACTACAGATTTTCTGACTTTTCACTCTCCCTTCACTTCTCACTCACTTTTCCTAGTTACCTAGCTGAGAAAATAATATGTTAGATCTGCAGAATGAAAGTATGGTGAATGAATAATAGCCATAAGCTTTCTGCTGTCATCTCACTAGAAAATATAGAGAAATACATAGTTCAAGAACTTTTCATGTCTACTGTTTTATCAATAGCTGAACATGGGGAATTGCTTAAACATAGCTAATTAAGCCAGGAAGTGAAAAATCAGCACCTAAGTTATCTAGGCTTATGGTGTTTCATGTACAAGCCATCTTTCCCTCTTTCCTTCTTTCTCTCCTTCCTTTTTGTATATTTCTCTTTTCTTTCATTCTTCCTTTTCTTTCTCTTCTTCCCTCTTTTCTTCCTTTCTTCTTTTTTCTTCCTTCCCTCTTTCTCTTTTCTTCATTTGGTTACTTAGCCTGGTTATAATAATATGTTCAATACTGATTAATAATAAATTTGGATCATGTAAACTTTCCCCAAACAATATCTAGTATGTAACTGTTTTCTGCCTTTGATAAACTCTTCCTATACATGGAGATTTCTTTTGAGCTCAATAATCAAGGAAGATGTAACAAAAAATATTGCTGACAAGAAGATATAATTGAATAGCTGTACCAACTTTCTATTTGTCTTTCTTTTTTTTCTTTTTTTTGTTTTTTTTGTTTTTCTTCCAGTACCAGGAATCGAACTCAGGACCTTGCACTTGCCAGGCAGGTGCTGTGCCACTGAACTAAATCCCCAGGCCTATATTTGCCTTTCTGTTGCATAGAAATATTTTGGTATATAATTTTGTAGCAAATTTTACAACTTCTTTGGGCTGTAATTATTTGCATTTTATTATACATGATCACACTGACTTTTTTTGAATGAGTCAAAAAAAAGGTAACCTACATAACAAAAGATATTTTCATATTTTGGACCCTATTTCATTTTAATTTTGTTACTAATAACAATTTTGTACTCAAACCTGTTGAGAGAAATTTGCACCTCTCTTTTAATCATTTTCTAATGAATTACAATGTGCCCAAACTTTCCAATGTCTGTTGATACTTTGAAAAATTTTCTAACATATCAAGTTATTATTTTGAAACTAATTTTATATGAGAGATTGAGTCAATGAGAAAAACAAGTAAAATAAACCTTTCCTAAATTCTTAACCTTATGAGAAGTAAAAATGATAATTATAATGAGTAAGCACAGACATTCTCATACCATGGCCTAAAATTTAAAGATTATGTAGGCAGGTCACTGTCTATAGCCAAAAATGAAGTAATAAGAAATAAGAAGTATAGACATAATAAGAATTGCTCTTATATGAACCTATTTGAAAACAAGTGTTAGTGTAAAGAATGCTAGCATGTTTCACAATACAATTGAAAGAATTGTTCAATATCCTGGATGAGAAAGCTGGAGACGCCAAAAGATAAGAGTATTATAATATAGACAGTCTATAAGATGGCTGAGCCAAGGAAAACACACCTCTAATAGTCACTGAATAATAGAAGATATATTATCATAATAACTACCATTTATTGAGAGGCAAGCATTGTGAGATGTTTTTCGATGCTATTTGTTGTCCTATTTATGATATAATTGTTTATCATATTAAGCTAACCTTACACGTAAGTGTTATTATCCTAGTAATACTGATATGGAACTAAGTTCCCGGGAAGTTAAATGGACTAGTAAGCGCAATAAAACTACTAAACACAGTACAGTGTGTATCTTCACTGGGAACCCAGTGATGGCTTTGGGAGCAGAGGAACTGTGGCTGGTGGCCAGTGCTGCCCCCTAGAGGTGAGCATCATAGAGCTACATTCTTCTGGTTGCCATAGCCACTGCAGAACAGAGCTAGACTTAACTCAACCCTTTTAAGAAAATATTCACCACTAGCTCGATTTCATCATTGAAGAAACTGAGATTCATCAGAAAGACATATACGAACACTGGCCTTTATGTCCCTTCAGTACAAAATCATGAGGAGCTCCGGAAGGGTATTTATACCTACATATTCTGGCCAATTCTTACCTCCATTTCAGAGCACGATTTAGTTAGTGTGTGAAATAATCAAGAATGCTGCTGCTGGACATACGCCTTGGTGAATGTGTGTTTGATGAGACTGACAGTCCCTGTTTTAGGGCAATGAAAGACATGGAATGAAAGTTTCTGTTGGTTTTTTGTCATCTTTTGTTGAAGAACTGGTATCCTCAATTCTATCAAAAATGTACATCTCTCTGTGCAAAAGGCATTTTTTATGAAAATCACCTATATATAATCCACACACATTTGATGCAAGATATTTAAATACAGTATGAACTGAAAAATGCTGTAGTGAAATGTTCTTTTAAAAGTTTCACAGTTCCCAGTGTCTGCTGTAGGTAGGTGAAAACCAACAGCCAGTGTCAAAGAAGGAAGACCTTTGAGCAATAGGAAAGTCTTAAAAGTGGTGACACTCTTGTTAATATCTTTTTTCCAACCAAATTTTCATAAGACTATGGTGGGCATCTCCAGTCGTGGAGGATATCTGCCTGCAGAAACCTTTGAAAGACAAAGGTCTGATTTTTGTCTATTTACATTTTTCCAGCCTTTCCTCTGTGACACAGGTTAGTTTGTGTATATAGGACTGTAGTGAATAGAGAAAGAAATAATTATCAAAGTGGTATTAATTCACTATGTTCTTTGAAAAAATCAAATTATAGAATGTTTAAATGGTATTATTCAAGCAAAAAATATGAGCAAATAAGACAGTAGAAAAATTGATTGAACAAAATTAAACAGTATCTTAGTTACAGGAATTTTCTGAGTCTTAACTAAGAAATTGTATGTTAAAATTCTCCAAGTTATGTTTGTAATGTTTATATATGATTATCCAGTCATGCCATATGTAAAATATATATTTATGTTTATTTATGTAGTTTAATATATACTTTACACATGAGTCCCTCCTTACAAATATCCATGGGAGTCATGTTTTATATGGCAACGTGAAATGCTGATTTAGAGTTATAAATTGACATAATTCACTATAGATTATATCTATAATAATCCATGTTAATTTAATCTGGGTATCAAAAGTCAGAGATCTCAACTTCGTAATCAGAATGTCCTGGAAATCATAATGACTGTTGTTTTTTTTTTTAGTCTAATATCTCTGTACACTGTAGTGTAAAGCAGCATTAGGTCAATACGACACTCATGAGAAGGTAACATTTATCAGGAATCTGTCACAGAAACAGGTCAGGGAATGAAGACTGTTGGCGTATCATTATGGAGAGGGCCCTCAACCAGGCAAATTTACCCAACAATTATAGTTACCACTCCGAGGCCTAGACAGGCCAAAGTATATTCTGATGAGAGGTGCCAGAAATGGATCTGTTTGTACTGCACTTGCCACTCCTTCCAAAGTAGAACTCATAGAGTGTCTTTTTGCCTGGGTGTGTTGCCTTTCTTTATCTAAATCCGAAGGATTAAAACAAAGGTAGCTGATGAGCTCTGTGTCACAGCTGTAAAAGACAACCTGTCATGACTAATACCTTCCTGTACCACTCCTTGGGGTGCCATCCCTACAAGCAGCACAGCGTAGGAGCCATGTAGCTGCCCTCTTTCCCTCTACCATTACAAGCCTTCACATGGCCCTTTCAAAAGAGCACTGGCCTTTCAAAAGAGCACTGAATCTGCTCTACCCCAGGAAACCTAGATTCACCTGCTAAGTGACTACAACTCTTAAAGTCTCAAATGCTCATCACTCAGCAGAAATGAGAGCACCTATGTTGTCAATGCCTTGAAAGGGAAGATCAGTTTCCCTACTATTTTGCTGTATGACACAGTTCTGAATTAAAGACATAATCACCTCTTAAAGTTACAGTGAAAGAGAAACAGATAAGGTAGGGTGGACTGATGCCAAGTAAGACAGGTAAGATACAAACTAGTGAGTCAATCTGGACTAGTCATTAAGATTTAATGATGTATACATTTATTTCTCATGCTTCCATGTATTTGATAAACATTTATAAAAACATTCATGCTAAGTCTTGGAGAGAGAAATGAATATGAAACAATTTTCCTTAGGAGTACAGTCAGTCTAGCTGTTTTTCAAACTTTGGAATATGTATGAACCACTTTTAATGATGGTTTAAAATGTAGATAACTGAGTCAGCTCCTCCAACCAATCCAATAATAGATTTTCATTCAGGTTGGCTTTGGTGGAGTCTAAAAGTCTTCATTGTTGTGATGATTACCATGATGATATGATTATTACTTTGCTTGGGTCTGCTGGACACACTGAGAAAAATAATCAGATACATGGTAGACAGGGTGCCTTAGTAAAGCTATTCAAAATGAACTAAGTTGTTAAGATATAACGCTTAGGAGGAGTGAGGCAACCTAAGTTCAGATTATGCCTTCGTGACTATTTATTGATCTTGGACAAATTACTCGACCTCGGTAGCACCCAGTTTCATTTGAAATAAAATAAAGATAATATTTTTATTCTTTTGAGGTTTTTTTGAGAATAAAATGAGACAATGTATGTCTGACATATTATTTGGTACATAATAGGTGTTCCATACATATTCTTAATTGTAATAATAAATATTGCTGTTGTTGATGTTATGATCATTGCCATAGTGATGTACCATAATTCAGCTACATTAATTTGTGTGTCTATATATTAGTATAAAATTATGTTTAACATATAATTCATATGTTATTAAGTACATTAATTATACAAAGATGTATCAACACGTGTAATCTAATAGAGCATGTGACCAATAAAATCCAGGACAAAGTCATGCAGCTTAGAATAAGGAAAGCGTTGTATGAAAATTCTTCTATTTCCTGCAGTATGAGGTTTACTATCTCTCTCAGATTTGGCACAAAACAGGACAGATTGACAGATAGAATGTGTTTTTTACGTAATTTGAAGTTCTACATCTTATAGAGACAGCAGTAAATGGAAGCTTTCCTGCAAAATGCCTTCTGCTATTATTTTGCAAAGTGGTCGAGTTATTTCTCTACTATTTGCTTTTAAACTTTAGCAGTATCAAAGGCAAATGGGGAGTATACATCATAGTTTACCTCCATAATTTTTGTAAATGTAAAAGTTTTCCTTCATATAAAGTAGTACTGACCACAGAAATTATAGAAAGTATGGAAAACATTTTAAAAATAAGATAGCCACCCAAATAACCACTGTCTAGATATAACTACAATTAAAACTATTATTTAGTCTTTTTCCTCTGTAGCTTGTTTCATTATTGAATGCAAAATAAATGCACAATTTACATTCAAATTTCTCTTAATATTTTGCAGTATGATATTTCACATATCACACGTAATACTTGATGACTGAATAAGTCTATTCATTTTCACTCATAATTTATTATACCAATCTTTATTTTGTAAAGTTTTACTGTATTAGGATATAAAAACAATTTTATACACCATGCTTATATGCATTTAATTTTTCTTTTAGATGAATTTCTGGAAATAAAACTACAGAATAAAAGGTACAAATCAGTTTTTAAATTTGCAAGATAGGATAATAGATTTCTTTGCATAAAGATTTTGCCAGTGCTTGCTCTTACCTTCAGGGAAAGCAAACAAACAAAAACAATTTATCTGTCAGGCAAGGGTGTAGCTCAGTGTTAGATCGCTGTTTTACATGTGTAATGCTTGGGTTTGCTCCCTAGCACCACAAAAACAAAAACAAAACAACCTAGCGGATACTGGAGATTTAAATGTGCCTTGATTATTGGCCATATTATTTATTTTTCTACAAATTATCTATCCCTTTTGTTGTGTATCTATCTGCTGAAGACTTGATTGTTTTTCTCCCTCCCCTTTGTTTCTTCTTTCCTTAATAACAAAGTCGTCATTTCAGATTTTTTCATGGAATAAGTCCTGAGTAGTTCAGTACATTGCACAACCTAGAAGTATACATTTCTGCTTTCTCCCACAGCAGTGTCATAAAAACTCACACCGAATTACATTCTGTGGAGTAATATTTTATCCTTTGGTGAAAAATACACTAACATTTCCTTTCCCAGGCCAACTCCAAATGTGGCAGCTTTTAGCAGCAGCATGCTGGATGCTTCTTCTTGGACCTACATGTGCTTATGATAAAACAAGAAGCAGCATAAATCCTGAAGCTAATATGAACATTGTAAGTCATATACTGAGAAAAGAAATCCACTACCATAAAACATTGTTAAGTAGTAATGATGTTATATACACTGGGTGTCCCTAATTTTCAACAGTTCTACCAGTGACTAAATCTGTGCCTCCTCCCTGTTGCCAGACATGTCTGCCATGCAAGAAAGGGAAGATGTGTTCCAAACTGGAGCAGAAATATTCTATATCTTGGCAGGTTGAGCTACCATCTAGTGCGGGCTTCCTGAACAGAAGGATTCACAAGCCAATACTGATGACTTCTGTATTCTTAAGTCACTCTTGGGGATTTTGGTACAGAGGTTTTTTTTGTTTTGTGAGGTGTACCAGTGTACTTTTTTGGTTAATAAACTAGGACTGGTTTCTGTAGCCCAATCAAAATTATTCCTTCTCTGTATCGTTATCTCCAATAGTAAAATGAACACAAACAGGTTAAGAAAGTCTCCCACAATGGCATAGCTAATAAGGGGGAAAGCAGGAATGCAGTGGTTTACACTCTTTCGTGAGTCTGGGCTTTCAACCTCTACTCTGTGTAACCTCATAAATTATGCATGCATCTGTCTGCCGGACAAGTGCATAATCTTGTGAGAAAGATTTAGACTTTGGAGCTAAACTTTCTGTATCATTAATCTTGTCTTTATCTCTTCCTTGGACAAATTACTAATCTTCTTGAAAGGTTTCCTCAACTGTAGGATGGGTACAACTCCATCTCAAAGGCTTTTTGTAAGGATTAACGAGACAGGGCATAGAATCTCTATGCAGAAGACAAAATAATTGACATGGCTTTCCCTCTTCCTTATGTATATATGGCTGGGGTATCATTTACTGACCCATTACTTCACTCTCTGTTCTTTTACTTCTCTCTCTTTGCTCAAGAGGCTTTTAAGGACAGGTGAACAAGCTCCCTTAAACTTTGGTGTGCAGGTTAGCTTAGCCAATGAAAATCTTGAGCAACGAGATAGAAAGAAAGAAAGGTGAACTCATTTTTTTGTCATCCTCACTCTTAACGCCTGCGAAGTTAACTTGTGACAAGCCATCTTCTTCAATCTGGCTGTTCTGCTTGACTTCCTTTGTCCGGATTCTGATGACTGCTTCCTTCCATCTCCCTGCAGGTCTAAGTGGGTAACAGTGCATTTGTCAGCTACAGGGTACTCTACAGTACTCTATGGTTCCTCTCATTAGATAACTATATAATTTTTGTCAACACCTTTTAAGAATGAACTAATGTGAACTAAAAATATGAGTCCAACAAGCATAACCAGAGATTTTCCTGAGCAAACTGCTATACAGACACTGAATTGTTGGGTCATCCCGCCCTGCCTTACCCGTGCTGTCGCATTCCACCATTCTGCTTTCCAGGGGTCTTCCTCAGTCTTCCTAAGTTTTCCAAGTATTTGCTGTCTTAAGCCATAGAGCAAAGAACAGGCAGTTACAGTGTAAAGCAGTATATTGCAGTGCATGTGTAAGAAGTAAGAGATTACATCATAAGCATATTCTGTCCCATTTTAGAGCGAGATTATTTCCTATTGGGGTTATCCTTATGAACAGTATGATACTGTGACAAAAGATGGTTATATCCTTGGAACCTACAGGATTCCTTATGGAAGAGGATGTCCAGAGAAAACAGGTAGGATTTATTTTGTTACGAAATGAAAAAATACTTCAAGCACAGATGCCTAGAAGTCCTCATAGCAGCAGGACAATTTTTTTTCTGAGATAAATTGCAGTTCCTTCAGTTAAAGGATCCAACCCCTACCTCTACTTAATTTACATAACCCTTTGATGTGTTTAATTATTTTCATGTACACTTTGTTTTGTCTTTGCTTTTCACCTTCCAAACATGGTAAACAAAAGAAAATGTGTTCTTACTCTACTGATACCACTGTACAGTTCTGAAAACCAGAAAGTTAGGAGTCATTCTTGGTACTACCTTCTCTCTCACTTCCCTGTATGCAGCTGATCACCAAGATCTCTCATTTTTGCCTTCTAAATTTCCCTGTATTCTGAAAACTTCTCTCAGCATAGTGCTCAAATGCACGTTTGACAAAGTTTCTTCAATTACTATAATACCTTCTAACTCAAATTAATCCACATGTAATCATTTCTCCACCAGCCAATTTTATTTTAAATGTAAATATGACCCTACTAGTTCAGTGTTTAAACTTCATTAAAGAGCCATTTCTAGCTTTCTATAATGCAGGCTGTTATCTATAGAAAAAAAGGCCTATCCACATGGTAGAAGCACTTTGCTTTTTTCTCTCACTTCTGAGCTTCTTTCCCTCACTGGTATATTGCAGTACAAAACCTCTCAATATCAGAAGAGCTAAAGAAAAACATATTTTTGAGAGAAGGAAATATAACAGTGCTCCTGACTTTCTAGAACCAAGCACTTGCCATAGTAACTCCATTACTTTTGTAAACATTAGTGAGAATATTTTAAATCTCCTTGAAGTTTTCATTTATCATTTCTACCACATAGTTGCCAAAATGCACCAAATGGAAATTTGTATTCTGAGAGGCTCTCTGGGGCCTCAGATTAGAGAGAGACTATGAGCTGTGGCAGCTACTTGGCAGAATTTAACTTTGGCAGAGTTAGCAATACCTCTTTTCTTCTCTTTTCTTCAAAATATGGATAAATGCACATAGGCTCAATTCCTTACTGCCAGAAGGCTGAAGTCTCTTTGAAATTCCTGTCAGCCTACTCAGCCTCAGAACACAAGTCTAGCCCTACAAGTGACCTGCCATTTGGGTTTTGAGGACAAACACAGCATCAAAAACCATTCATAAGGGAGAAGAAAAATCCAATTAGTTTTTTCTTCTTTTCTCTTTTACAATACCACATATCCACTTCCTTACTTTATTTCCTTAGTTAAAATATTCTAATTCTACATTGGGAGTAGGATTTTTAGATTGAATTAACAATTTTATGTTGTAAGAAATCCTACTTATAACCTTGTGTTTTGCTTTGTAACAATTCAAAAAAAATGAAGCAATGTTTATAAAATCTATCATAGTACCTAAGAATCAATAAACATTCAAGAAATGGCATTTTCATTATCATTCTGATTATTTTGAGAAAACTTTAAAGTTTTCTAGATGTTTTGTCAGAAATAAAACACTATTGGGGCTGGGGATTTAGCTCAGTGGCAAAGCGCCTGCCTGGCAAGCGCAAGGTCGTGAGTTCGGTTCCTGGTACCGGAGAAAAACCAAAAAAAAAAAAAAAAAAAAAAAGAAATAAAACGCTATTATTATGAATAATAGTAACAAAACTGCCATTTATTGTACTTGAAGGTCTTTTATGTTTTTAATTATTTATAATATATTTAATTATCATTAAATTCTTCTGACTAGCCTAAGAGAGAGCATATGTTATTTTTTCCCATTGTACAGATAAATTACCTGCACCACAAAGGGGTTGATACATGGCAAAATTCATGTCGAACAAGGGTGATCTAACTCTAGAACTTACATAGCATGTCATGTATAATTTCAGCTTTATAAACGTGAAACATAAAACATAAAGAAGATAGATTACTTGCCCAAGTAAATGGTTTAGAAAAGACTATATCCCAGGATTTTCTGGCAACAAATTTTATCTCTTAACCTGTGTTCTCGACCACAGCAGGTCAGTTTTTAAAAAAAAGATTTTCATGTAGACTCTGAGGAAGTTCAGACATGAAATTCTCATTGCTTGTTTTGCAGTTCCCAAGCCCATCGTATATTTGCAGCATGGCTTAGCTGCATCTGCCTGTGACTGGATTTGCAACCTGCCCAACAATAGCTTAGCTTTCCTCCTCGCAGATAATTGTTATGATGTGTGGTTGGGGAACAGTCGAGGAAACACCTGGTCCAGAAAACACCTGAAATTGTCACCCAAATCACCAGAATTCTGGGCCTTCAGGTAAGAAAAATCTACTAATAAAGTGTGTACTTTGCTTATTTATATGCATAAATACCCACTTTCTTCCTGTATTCACGCTCTGAAGAAATGCCCTCATTGCATTGCTGTTTGTTTTCAGACCCTCACTTCCTTCCTACTGTGGATATGTCCCGATCTCTGAATGGTTAAAGAGCTGAGTGTTCTCGCAGCAGACCCTAAAAGTGCTGTCTGCTTCAGAAATGTGACCTACTCAGTCACAGGGGAAAAACTCATACACTTGCATAGTAGTTAAGAAGCATGTCTTAGAGATCAGCAAAGCTACTTGTTCTTGATCTCTGTCATTGGTATTTCTTAATCTACATCCAAGGGCGATTATGTCATTTCAACAGTGCAAAGGACAAGATGATTCCCTGAGTATTTCTTAAACTCTGCACTGAATCCCAGGCACCTGAGGCCATTGATGAATTTACGGATAACCAGAACTCTTCCCTGGAAATTCTGATTTAGTTCAGCCTGGGTGGATATCTGAAAATATCTGTTTTGGATAAACACTGCAAATAATTTTTTTCAGAAGAAATTGATAGCATCTGTTATAGCATTAAATTAAGTATAAGTAGACTTACAAGAAAAGCGTTAGAAGGACTTTACAAATTGTATTTTTCTGACTGTAGTTTCTTAAAACTGTTTTTTCTTTTTTTTTTTTTTTGTTTGTTTTTTTTTTTGTTTTTTTTCCGGTACCAGGAACCGAACTCATGACCTTGCGCTTGCCAGGCAGGCGCTTTGCCGCTGAGCTAAATCCCCAGCCCCTAAAACTGTTTTTTCTTGCTATGAAAGTGACAGCCTGAAAGTTGCTCAAATGCATAACATCATATACTAACTCTAGTCTCTTATTAGCAAAAGCAAAATATCTATGTCTGCAGTGAATGTATTTGGCTATTGCAGGCCTACTAGGCCTGCATCTTACTGTTAGTAAGATGTCTTTTCCAATTTTGTTGTTTCTTTTCTTTGACAGTTTGGATGAATTGGCTAAATATGACCTTCCAGCCACGATTGATTTAATAATACAGAAAACTGGACAAGAGCAACTCTTCTATGTGGGCCACTCCCAGGGGACCACCATAGGTATGTTTTGGGGTGGATGTGATCAAAATACAAGTGCTTCGGTCTCTATGGAAGGGATCAGTTTTTTCTGCAAAGTCTTTTAGGACTTTAATTATTAGCAAACCATTTTCTTTGGGTGGTTTCTGAAGAGTAAACAAAACAAGGAGATTTTCAGGCCTGAAAGAAAGAATATTCATTTATTCATTTGTGTACCCCATAAGCATTGTGAAACACTGGGTTACATGCTGGGTTAGCAGAGATACATATGGTATCCATACTTTTTTAGAGACCTCACAGTCTGGAGACAGACAAGGAGAAAGCAGGAAATTACAAAAACTCTGTGTTTTTGTGCTACAGTCAATGTGACTTTTGTTTACTACTCTTGGTTTGCTCTTGGGTAGACCAAGTGTGAGTAGATCACGTCAACAATGCCAAGAGGCCCCTCAATCCTCTTACTGTTCTTCGCCTTTCTTTTTGGAAACTACAGAAAACTGAGACCATTATGATCCATGATTATGAGACTATTGCCATTACTGTGTGTATGTGTGTGTATGTATGACTCATCATTGAAAGATCTTACTATTATTTACCGATTGAGAAAGGTGAGATACATACCAAGAGGGTAACTTCACACAACTAATGACTGGAAAGCCAAGATTCTAGCCCTGTTTTGTCTGACATCAGACTATGATGAAACTGTGATGGTCCTTCAGAGATTAGTCAGGCATGCTCCACAGAGGATGCTTAAACCTTCTAGTCAATACTTTCTGTATAAATAGACATGCTCTTCCCAGGGACAGAAAACTCACTTTAATCTGAATTAGCTAAATCCACCCTTGGGAAATTTATAAATTCTTCCCCACAAACGGTAATTACTCTGTGTTGTTTGTTTTGCTTTATTTTATAATGTGGCTGGCTTTGTTATCACATAAGGTGAAGAAATAATAGTTTAAATCTATGAACTACTATCTTCCTGGCTTTCAGCTTTCATGGCATTCTCTACAAATCCAGACCTGGCTAAAAGGATTAAGATATTTTTTGCACTGGCACCAGTTGTCACTGTGAAATACACTCAAACTCCTTTGAAAAAATTTTCAAAATTTTCCAGGCAAGCCATCAAGGTATGTGACTTCCTCATGTTTACATCTGAAGTAACTATGAGTATCTCTACTTGTGTCAGATTTCAAAGACAAATAACATTTTGCAAACATCTCAGAATATGATGAGTGCTTGAGGTACCCACACAGGCTTGCTGATGATCTTATTAGCAAGGTTCAGGGAGCTCATTCTGATGCCACTGGTGTCTTCATCTACATCTAGAAGCTTCCTGTGTCACCCCTTAATCATAGCTTAAGTGAGAGCTGATGTGTTTGTCTGTTGATTTTAAGGAATCTCCATTCTGTTTTCCATAGTGGCTCTCCTACTAATCTACATTCCTAAAACAATGTAAGGTTTCCTTTCTCCCCATGTCCTTACCAGCCCTTTTAATATTTCCTTCTTTTGATAATAACTACCTACCCTACTGGAATGAAGTGACAGCTCATTGTGGTTTTGATTTGCATTTTTCTGATGATTTGTGATGTTGAACATTTCTCCATGTATGTGCTGGCCATTTGTGCATTTTCCTTTGAGAAATGTCTATTTAAGTCTATTGCTTATTTTAAAATTATAATATTTGCAGGGTTTTGGCTACCGCATTGAATTACTTAGGTATTCTCAATATTGATCCTTGGTTAGACATATATAGTTTTAACATACTTTCTCCCATTCTGTAGATTGTCTCTTCATTCTGTTGATGGTTTCACTTGTTGTTTAGAAGCTACTTACCATTTGTAGTATATTTTAAAGTCAGAAGTGTAATCCTCTGGGTTTGTTCTTTTAGCTCAACATTGCTTTGGTTATTTTTTTTTTTGTAGTTTTTTTTAGTATTTTTTCAGGCTCTGTGAAGACTGTCATTAATATTTTTATAGAGATGGCACTGGATCTTAGAGCTCTTTGGGTAGTACAAACATTTTAACAGTGTTGAATCTTCTAGTCCATGAACTGGCTTATTATTCATTTATATTTTCTATAGTGCTAAAGTCCCTACTTCACTTATCTCCACTCTGATTTTTATTATTTCTTTCCTTCTTTCAATTTTGAATTTAGTTTTTTTCTTGTTTTTCTAGTTTCTTGTGGTGCAAAAGCAGACTGTGCTTGAGATCTTTCTGCTTTTTTGTTGTGGGCATTAATTACACTAAACTCCCCTCTTCTTTACTGCTTTTGCTATGAGTTTTAATTTGTTGTGTTTCCATGTCCTCTGTTTCCAAAATATTTAAGTTTCCTTCTTAATTTATTTCCTGATCCATTGACTGTCCAGGAGTATATTGCTTTCTTTCCATGAATTAATATAGTTTCCAAAATGTTTCTTGTCACTAATTTGCGATTTTTTGCATTGTGATCAGAAAATATAATCAATATGATTTCAGATTTTAAAAATTTGTTGCAATTGTTTTTGTGCCTACCATAGGAACTATCCTGGAGAGTGGTCCACGCAGTGTCTTTCTTTTCATGGGTGCTACCATTTCTTCTGATGGTTCTTTTGTTCCTACTAAAGTCAGCTCAGTTCCCATAAGGCACAGGCATAGGGACTTGAGTCAGACAGAACTGAGTTCACAGTCTGCCTGTGCCTCATAATCTTTATAACTGTGGACACATCATTCAAATATTCTGCTCCTCGTTTTTCACATTTATGAAATGGACAGAATTTGGCACGTTGGAATAGTCATTGAGACAGTATATAACACATATTTATAGTATAATATAATATGAAAAATACATTTATAATGTAATATATTTATATTTATGTATATTATATAATATATACTGTATATATAATATGTACTTAAGCATCATACTTAGCTAGTAACTGGTGATCAATAAAATTATCAATATTATTAATTGTATTGATCAAGTTTATTTTTGATTTAAGGCCAAAGTACTTGATGTGACAGAGCTCTTGTTTATCTGTCCTTGCTTTCTACCCCTGCCTCCATTCTGACCCTGGGCAATTCTGTTTTTGTATTCCCTTCCCTCCTATTATTAGTATATATTTGCAGTACATAGTAAATATGTCCATCAATATATTGCAATACAAAGTAAATATACACATATATATATTGCATCTTGATCTTATTTATATCCCCTCCCTCCTGCCTCTCCTTATCTTGAGATCATCTTTTCAAAGAACCAACTCTTTGATTCATTGATCCTTTATATTGTTTTTCAGTTTCAATCTCATTAATTTTCACTCAATCTTTATAATTTCTCTTCTTTTAGTTTCAGATTTGGATTGTTCTTGTTTTTCTAGGACATTGAAATGCATTAGTAGGTTACGTAGTTAGGATTCTTCTATTCTGTTAAAGTGTGTGTTCACACCTGTCAGCTTCCCCATTAGAACTGCTTCTTTGTATCCTACAGATTTTGATGTATTGTGGTTCCATTGTTATTTGATTCTAGGAGCTTTTTCATTTCTTCCCTTATTTCTTCTGTGGTCTATTACTCATTCACTAATGTGTTAGCGTAGTTTTGTTGTTGATTTTTATCTTCATTCTGCTATGATTTAATAGTATGCAGGGAATTATCTCATTTCTTTTTTATTTTTTTAAGGATGTTTTATGGCCTAGGATAACACTTATTTTGGAAAAAGTTTATGTGCTATTGAGAAAAAATTGTATTCTCTCACTGGATGAAACATTATAGAGATCTGTTAAGTCCATTTGTTCAATAGTATGATTCAACTCTGATATTTGTTGACTTTTTTGTCAGATCGACCTGTCCATTTGTGACAGTGTGATACTGAAGTCCCCCGTCATGACCGTATTGCTGTTTATCTGTCCTCTTAAGTCCAATACCTTTTGTTTCATGAAGTTGGGTGTGCGAACATTTGCTGCATAGGTATTTCCAATTATTACCTCTTCATGTTGAATTGTTTGCACCACAAAATCCCAAAAAACAGAAACCAAGAAATGAGTCTAAAATCTTCCTCCATGTGTTTGGGTGAGTGGTTTCTTTCCAGAACCTGTTGTATTGGAATTCACCAGATGTGGGTAGGAGATAGTGAGTTACAACTACGGCCAATTTTGTTTCCATGTGTACTTGTTGCTGTGTGAATGCTAAGTCCTGTCGCACCTTTCCTGTTGAGTATGGTCAGTCAATGGTATGGTATCTGCCTTAGGGCTATATTTACTGCAGTAGCTTTTAGTGCTTGTGTACTTCTCTGCACCAAAGTTATTGGTATTTATGGCCTGTGGGCTCATAAGGACGCCCCAGCCCCAACTGCAGAGACCCTTCTGACTGTATATCACAGGATGTTGTACCATCTAAGCCAAGGCATTATGTGATTGTACTGGCAAATAGGAAAGGCAAACAGACCATTGAGTTCTGTGCTAGAAGTAGGCAACAGGGAGGTAGAAGGCAACCAGTCAGCACTTTCAGACCTAACCTTCTCAGCAAACAATACTTGAGCAGCCTGGCTTCTCTCCATAGGGGTTGGGACCACCATATCTTTCACAATCTGAGTTTGCCACTGCTTAAGCAGGGGTCTGCTACTAGCCCACCCCTTCTCTGTGACTGTTTCTTGAGGCTATCTCCCACCCAGTTACTGTGGTAGGGAGACCCCAGAGTCCTTGAAGTATAGTCGTTCTATGATTTCTGATTCCTACAGTATCTCAATCTTAATAAACCCTTCCCAAAATGTCTTCTGATTATATCACTTCTGAGAATGGCAGGCACTGCAGTGAATGTCCTCCCTTATCTGTTGAATTAAATCCTCTTTGAGCTCATTACATTTCTTAAACCTTTACTTATATGTTTCTCCAACTCTAGCCTACTCCCCTTCAGAGCAAAACCTCAAGCACTATTTCCAGCTTATAATAACCATGGATTTTCTTGGGACTAGTGTTCCCAGTCTGCTGTTTCTCCCTGGGACTGCTGACCCTCTCTGGGCTTGACTTCTGTTTATGCAGACAGGAATTCTTCCCCTGGAGTTGGGGTCAGCATTCCAGATTACTCCATTGTTTTCTTTGCATTGTCTTCAGTTTCTCCACTTTCCCTGTGGTTTCTAGTGCTTTCTTTCAGCGCTTTCTTTCTTTTTCTTTCTTTCTTTTTTTCTTTCTTTCTTTCTTTTTCCTGCCTGTCTTCTTTTGTTTGTACTTTTTTTTGAGGCAAGGTCTCACTATGTAATTTAGGCTAGCCTTGAGCTCACTATGTAGCCCAGACTGGCTGAGATGACAGGCATGTACCACCACATCTAACTGTCAGCTCTCTCATGATTCCAGGAGCTGTACTTCTTTTTCTCTTCACTAAGTTGTTTTCCAGATGTCTCATTTCCATGTTCCAGAGAGCCTGTATTTTGCTGCCAGCCTTTCCTCTGTGGTTTTAATCTCCTGTCTGCAATATATTGCCTTTTAGCTACAATTGCCAGTTAATAAAGGATTCCAGAAGACATGTATGCTAGCTTTTATTGTAAATAGGTGTTTCTAGCATTTTAAGAACCCCAAAAATATTTTTTCACCATGTATCTAATTTACTATCCTAAGATTATAAAACTGGCCATTTCAAAACAAATGAAGATTGGCTTAGTACACATAGCAATTAAATACTGATTTATGTTATAATATGAAGACTTTTGTAAGGGCCAGCCTTTTTTAAATTAAAGAGGTACATTCAATGCACAACCCTTCCTGAAATTTCACTAGTAAAGTTTTATTCATTTGGTTTAAACTCTTGTCCTTAGAAGGAATTAATTAAAAGATTCTTGAAGTAGTAGGTCATTACATCTGTACAGTAACCAATTGTTATAATAGTTATTTTTTGAATATTTGCTAGGTACTAGAAACTGCATAGTTTTCTTTTAAACATGACCTGTTAATTTTGCAACAATTCTATCTTGTAGATATCAGTTTTTCCATTTTATAGTTGAGAAAATCCAGGAAAACAGAAGCTCAATTATAGAACACAAAATCCAGACTCCAACATAAATATGCCTGACTCCACAGCCTTACCAATTTCCTATAAAGGTTGGTTTATGGGAGTGTCCCAAAAATTCTGATCAAAGATTCCTGAGGTAATACAAGAGGTTAGTTGGGAAGACTACAAAGACAAAATTAAATAGACTTCCAAGCTTCATTGATTACTGATTCCAAGCAGGCATTACTTCCTGTCCAGTTCTTGTCTGAATTATCACTCATTCTGCCCTCAACATTCATGAGATTTGATGGTGCTTTAAACTGATCTTGCAGGCATTGTTTGGTGACAAAATGTTCTCCCCTCACACACCGTTTGACCACTTTGTTGCCACCAAAGTGTGCAGTAAGAAGATATTCTATCCCATATGCAGCAAGTTCCTATTTACCCTAGTTGGATTTGATGTAAGAAACTTAAACATGGTATGTATTAGTAGTTGAGTCTGAGCATGTAATAGTTTTGTAGCACACAGATGATGGGAGTTCACTCTGGGTTGTGTAGAAAGCACATTTGAAAGGTTTCTTTTTGTCTCATAAAATGTAATTAGTATGTTCATGGCTCACAGACCAAGATTCTCCTAGGTGTCATAGGAGGATTTGAGCAGAAAGCTTTACTGCCAGAAATTCTCACCAATGCTTGAAAGGTGTTTACTGTAGTGAAGCATATCAGCGGTACATAGCAGCTTCTCTGGAATGTTGGAAAAAATATACATGTCCAGAACTCAACCCTAGAGATTTCTACTTTTATTTAATAGTTTTGGATAGCTCATAAGTAGGTGTATTTTTTTAAGTTCCAAGATGGTTTTGATACTCATTTTGGTTAAAAAAAATTAATAACTTTTTGTATCAAAAATGCAATTGAAGATAAGAAATAATGACTTTTTTTTGACCCTGAAGAAATCTAAACATATTGGATGGATTCTGTCCTACAAAGTATCAAAATGCTCTGTAAAATAGTGAGACTTTTTTTTTTTTTTGTGCTGGGAATCAAACTCAGGACCTTGTGCTTGCCAGGCAGGCACTGTGCCACTGAGCTATATCCTCAGCCAAGAGATGTTTAAACCCAAGCAAACAAAAGGAAATATTCAGATATGCTCTCAATGCTTTTTAAATCAAATCTTCCTTTGAATGTTCTTTGGGACTTAATACAGGGTGAAGGACATCATGTGGTTGTTAATTCTTTGACTTCAGACATTTTTGAAACTGTGCACCTTACCTTCTGTCTTTAACCAGTGGGCTGACCTCTGTGGAGGGTATGAAGTCACTGCCTGGTACAGAAAAACAAAACTGAGGTAGCAGGAATTTCTTAATGATGGGTCTCCTTGGCCCAAATAGTATGGTATATATTTTTCCTAAATAATAATATAACAAAAATAAAAGAGAAGATATTCAGATTTCTATAAAATATTCACTTGTATAATTATATGATTAGCCTGTAGCTAAGAAATAATCTCTTTTCAGAGTCGCTTGGATGTTTATATGTCACAGAAACCTGCAGGAACTTCTGTTCAGACCATGATGCACTGGGGCCAGGTACATGCTTCCTGTATTTTTGTGAGATCCTTTAGGGGTGCTCGCTCAGACTGCACTGCAGGGTTCTGCAGGCAGCTTGGGAGTTTTCATGATGATTCCTGAATTAGTGCCAACTCCTGATATTTATTTCCTTTGCTCCCTTTATCCCCCCATCCTCCATGTCTGCCTTCTGAGCCTGGTTCTCACATGTCCTGACCAAGTTCCGATCCTTAGATTATCCCAAAGTGCCTTCTCAGGGAAAGAGTGTATATTTCCCTTCTCAGGGAAAGAGTCTTTTAAAAAATAAGCAGCTGCAGTAGGACTTTATATAAAGTCACAGAGTATATTCCAGAAAGACTCGTTTATCCTCCAATTTACATATGATGCATTTCAGAGTGATGAAATCATGTTTTGTTTAGAGCAAATTAAATTCAGGAAAGGGATTTAAATAGATAGATCATTTGTGTTTTTACTCTCAGTTAAAATTGTATTTGCTTTATTACATTATTATATTTGATAAGCTCAGAGACAAGACAAATTCAGTTCATACTGCTTCTGAGCCAAGAACGTGTGTGTGTGTGTGTGTGTGTGTGTGTGTGTGTGTGTGTGTGTGTTCAGTCTTTCATAGTGTAAACTTTACCTGTATTCTTGGCCAGTGGCATTAGCCTCACTTGTTCTGAAAAGTGATCAAAATATACATAGTCAGGCCAAGTGTCCGAAACGTTCATCCTAGGATTATATTGCTTACAATACAGCACACAACATGGCACTTCACATGGGAGGAGCAAACAACACCATACCTCACACAGAACAGTGAGGATCTCAGGGAATGAATAATCATTCCGAAAATGGCAAAAATGTTTAAAGATGGAGAATATAGTCATAATAACTTAACCCACTTGAGATAAGATCCAAAATTGTTTAGTAATAACACTAGTAGTTTTTTCACTTTTTCCTCTTATTTTTATTAATCTATATTTGTTATACAGATTCATGGGTTTTGTTTGGGCAGATTTGTATTTGCACATAATATATTTTAATCATTAGTAATTTTTAATGTTGGAAATGTACACCTGATGACAAATACATATATAAGTGTATAATTATATACAATATGTTATCATGTGGCTATATAATATATGTTATTATATATATGTGTGTATATATATATATATATATATATATATATATATATTACTAAGCCAAGATATTCCATATACTTTTTAAAAAGTTGTAGGGGCTAAAGTTAAAGCTCAGGATAGAGTAATTGTCTAGTATGTATACTTGCACAACATGTGTTAGGTCTTTGGGTTCAATTCCTAGCATTGGAAAGGAAAAGTTGATGTGCATCCTTGTAATGTTTGCAGGCATTGCTGTCTGTGGACCTACATGAGGAAAAGTATGAGGGGAGCAAATTGTGCATCAGTTCTGAGAGTTAGAATCCATTTTTATAAACTGTAGTACATAACTGATTAATCTTTATTAATATTTAACTTATGTGACAAAAGAGTGGGACATAATATCCATCTTTCTTATGTATTTCTTCTTTACTAACATTAAATTTGCATGATTTCTTTATATCATTTTAATATATTTATTGTGTTTAATATTAGATTTTTAATGCTGATCAGCTCCAAGCATTTGATTGGGGAAATCTTGATCAAAACATGATGCACTTCCACCAGGTACAATAATAATAATCATAGTTGCATGCTGAAAATGAACTATTAAAAATTGTATCCACTCATTAAGCACATACTACTTCCTAGCCAGTACAATGGATGCTGCCTGCTATTACTATGACTTACTGCTTATTGAGGCTTAACCATGTTCCGTATTATTTTTATCCTCATAATTATATTTCAAAGTAAATATTGCTATCTCCATTTTTTTCAGAAGCCCTGTGAGGTTAGGTCCATTGTCCAGTTATTTAGCTAGCAAACAACCAGAATGTGACCCAGGGATTCCTATATCTAAATACTACACTCCCCCACTATGCTACCCAACAAAAACTTTTGGCATTTAATTAAAACCATGTTTGGAAGAGCAAACGGAAGTACATAATCTTTGCTATTAAAACATATCATCTGACTTATTATCTGTCTCTGATAAAATAAACTAACATTGTTCTACTTGTTCATCCTTTGTTATTCTTTTTAAAAACTAATATATGGATTATTAAATACCTATCCATCTTAAATATCCTGTTTAGGATACAACATTAGGAGCCAGCATGGTGGGCTCCAGTGAAGGCTCTTCATGACTTACAGATGGATGCCTTCTTAAAGTGTGTTCATGTGATCTTTCCTTGGTACATTTTCCTGGAGAAAGAGAAGGAGAGAACCCGTGTATGAAAGAATGGTCCCTTTCAAATCCCATCCTTGTGACCTCATTTAACCTTAATTACCTCCTAAAGCTCCTGTTGCAGTTAGAATGAAATGTCAATTTGAATGAGTTTTGGATCTTCCCTCAGGATTGGTGGAGTACACTTCCAAGTGTATCCGGGTGGGTTCGGAGGGCATGGCATTGGGGTCTATGTCTGGTTCCTCTTTCTTCCTGCTCTGGAATTGTTTCCTGGATGCCATGAAATAAACAGCGTTACTCCACCATGCCCTGCTGCCCTGAGGCTTCTGCCTTGGAGCTCGCCAACCATGTGCTGAATCTCCTGAAATATGACCTAAATTAAACCTTTTTTCCTTTAAGTTGTAGATATTGGGTGTTGTGTCTCAGTGGCAGAAAGCTGACTAGTATAAATCCTGTCTCCAAATATGATCACACTGTGGCTTGTGGTTTTGACATATGAATTTGGAGAACTATCAGTTCAGCACAGAGTATAATAATCAGAAATTATTCAGTTGCAAGTAACCACTTTAGGTTTAAAGAAGGAAAGAAGTGCTGCCTTTCTATACTACAATGTCGTAGTAAATTGACAATAGCCAGGGACTTAAACATTATCATAAGTCTCCCTTTTCTTGTCCCTCTTCCTCTCTTTTTTTTTTGCTTTTCCTCTCAATTCTGCTTAAAGATGCTTGTTTCCATTCTGAGGCTCTTTCAAACATTGTTTTAAGATGGATCAGAAAGCTCTTACAATTTCAACCCCAATAAAAAACAACCAGGATGTTCACAGTAGCGCTAGCAGACAGTTCCAGAAAGACTTCTGGGACAGTTTGAGTGATGTGCCATGTCTCATACAATCACTATAGCAAGAAGAATGAATTCAGTAATTCATTCTTGGCCAGACCTGGTCACTTGGACCAGGTATTGTGTTGTATCACAAAGAAGGTACAAAGGAAAACTCACTGGGGCTCTTCCACTCTATTTCTCTATAACAGACTAGTTCCTGCTAAACATCATATTTCAAGTGTTTGTTTTTATGCACTTTTATCAATACTCTTTAAACCGTGCTGATATCTGAGTGTCAGTGATGCTTCTGAGCCCAGATTTCTGCACATGAGAAGGGACATTTCTTTTATCTCACATTTGTTTTAAGAGAAAAAAAAATGCACTCTCAAATGAAATGTTACCTGGAAAATGATTTCCCATGTTTCTACAGGAACATTCCTCCTCTAAGATTTTTTTCCCATTTTCTTAAATGTATAAGTCAGGAAGGTAATAGTTGTCTTTTTATTTGAAATGCCTATTATTGTATTTTAAATGTGTTCAAGTGTTTTAATGCTTTTAATGATTCTATATCAATAAGTGTATGCCAGTTACACACTTTTAGCCTTTGAAAAACTTGCTTAACAACTGATAGTTAATATTACTTCTGTAACGTAATTTTTTCCTATTTTTTCATTATATTTAGATTACACCTCCTTTATACAACATTACTAAGATGGAAGTTCCAACAGCAATATGGAGTGGTGGACAGGATATTGTGGCTGATCCTAAAGACATGGAAAATTTACTCCCTAAAGTTGCTAACCTTATTTATTACAAAGTGATTCCACATTACAACCATATGGATTTCTACCTTGGACAGGATGGATACCAGGAAATTTACCAAGATCTAATTAGATTAATAAAAGATTGCTTACAAAATTAAATACAGTTCCTTTCTTTAAGCAAATGAATTTTTATAATAATAATGAGGTGGGCAGATCTAAAGGCGACCCTCTATAATTCTGACCTTCAGGTGTCCTCTGCCCTTCAGTGATAGTAAGATTGGAATCTTACTTCTAGCCAAAAGAACAGCAAAAGTGGTAGACACCACAGCCTTATTTAAGGTATGTTATATTCCAAAGGTGATGGGATGTCATCACCTAATTGTATTTCCTTATACAGTGTCATGCATGTGCCCATAATTCCATCACTCTGGGAGGCTAAGGCAGGAGGATTTTAAGTTCAAGCCCAACCTGGGCAACTTAGTGGCTCAGCAAGACCCTATGTCAAAATTTCAAAAGAAAAAATTTAAAAAGGTACAGATGCAGCCCAGGGTGAAGGCCTTTAGTTCAATCCTTAGTACTGAAAAAAATACATCTAAGTAGACTGGAGAGACAAATTGTCCTTGTCAGCCTGATAAAATAAATAGAGGCATTAAGGAAGCTCACACTTCAAAGAATGGTGTGTGGCTTTTAGAATCTTCCTGCTGTTAACCAGCAAAACACAGCCGTCTTGGACACATAGCCACACGAAAATGAATTCTGCCTAAAACCTGCTTGAGTGTAGAAGTGTATCCTCCACAATGAAGACTGCCGCTGTGGAAGAAGCCGTGACTGTAGCCCCTGAGACCCTAGGACAAGAACATAGGTATATCCTGTTTAGACTGCTAATCTGTGGAAATAGTGAGATAATGAATATTTATGATCCTAATGCTTTAAATTTGTGTTAATTTGTTTTCAGTAATGGTAAACTACTTCTACTAATTATTGTTAATGTGTAGTAATTATATAATTAGTATAATAAATAAACTTTATTAATTCTAAATTATAATATATACTGCTATATTATCCTACAATACTGTGTTATGTATAACATATTCTAATTGTATTATAATGTTTTATTTTATATCATAATATACAATACATATTATTTTGTCTCTGGTTGAAAGCTTCCTTATTTCACTCTCTTCTGGCCTAACATACTTCCTTAAGCATTTGTTTCTCAGATTTGCTAGGGATTGATTTACTCAGTGTTTCTCTGGAAAAGTCTTCTTTTGCCTTCATTTTTAAAGGAACTTTTTTCTGAGAACAGAATTTTAGATTGAGGTAGTTGTATTTAACTTTTTCAGTGCTTTCAAAATAATGTTCATTATCTTCTGGAATACAAAATTTTTGATAAGTCTAGGTTTCTCATGTTCCTTTTCACTTAATACACTTTTTTCTTTGTCTGCTTTTTAGAGTTTCTATTTATAAATTGTGTTAGATTTGCAGCTCTGTGACAAAATATATGAGATATATAACTCGAAAGGAGGAAAAATTTATTTTGGCTCATGGTTTTAGGGGATGTCAGTCCATGGTCATCTGGCTCCATTGCTTTTTGGTTTGTGATTAGCCAAAATATCAAGGTGTTGAATGTGTGTTGGAGCAAAACTACTCACCTCATGGCAGCTGGGAAATAGAAAGACAGTGTTCCATACATGCTTCATGGGAATGTATTCAGTGACCTACTTTCTCTGATTAGGCCTATTTTCCTAGAATTTCCATCACCATCAGCTAAGGACCAAGTAACACCATCAGCTAAGGACCAAGTTTTCAACACACAAACTTCTGGGAGATATTTAAGATCTAAGCCATATGTGGATGATATTCTGAAACGTGATTTCAATAAGCCTTGGTGTGTTTTTGATGTATATGTTGCTTTGACTTTTATTGGCTTCCTATTTCTGTGGCTTTATAGTTTTCATCAAGTTTGGAAAATTTGTGGCCATTATTTCCTCAAATAGCTTTGATCCCCCCTGTTTTTGCTAGATCTCTCTATTATACGTATGATAGACCACTTGGTAGTGACACTAGACACTAATGCTGTGTTTGCCAGTTGTTTTCCTTTGTGTACTCCATTTTAAATAGTTTCTGTTCCTATGACTTCATATCTAGAGTTTTTTCTTTTGTAGCTGTGTAATCATATCCAAGACATTTATTATTTTATATAGTATGTTAATCATCTCTAGAAATCCCATTTGAGTGTTTTGTAAAATTCTGTTTCATTTTCATGCTTTTCTTCACATCTTGACTATTACAACCATATATTAACATACTTCCTGCTTGTGCAGTCATTGATCCTAATGAGTGTTTTATATAGGAACACCCCCAGTTATCTGTCCTTCTTTGTGTGTGTTTAACAATATTTGTTTGATGCCAGACCCTGAATTTTGTCTGCTGAGTGCTGAAATTTTTCTCTAGAGAAAAAGGTTGGAAAGGTTGGAAATTTTTGAGGTCAGTGCATTTAGCTTCAGGAAAACTGATTGTTCTGAGGATAGTATTTTATCTTCTTAAGGCCAGCCCTAGAGTTACCTCTGCTCTGAGGAAGTATTATCTGACTATGAAATCATATGCTTCCTAAAGTTTCTACTGAATGTCTCAGGTGTTCAGAAAGCTCTGTCTCTACTGGCTTGGAGGGCACTCATACTAGTCCTATGTGATTTTTTTACATACAAAGAATTGTTATATTTATAGTTCTCTGACAGTGTTCCTTCTAAATTTTACTTTGCCAACCTTTTTGGATTTTAACATTTCAAGGTGCAGATTATAATTTAGTTCAAGTCTCCAGGGAATTACTCTCCTTAATCCTGGGGGTCTTTCTCTTCAGTGTTCCTTTCTCAAGTATTCTAACCCCCCAATTTTGGTATCTTGATCTTCCCTGAATTGTAGTCTCACTGTCCTTAAATCAACTGGTCACCAAACTCTGTTTGAGTCCCCTACTTCTGCTGCTACCCAGAAACTGCTGGTAAACAAGAAATCACAGTTTTCATAGGGTTCATCTTATATATTTTCTTCTTTCCAAGGGTCACACAGTTCTCTATAAGGCCTGATTGCCAATATCTGGAAACTGTTCTTTATTATCTTGCTTCCAATTAGCTGCTTTTTTATGGTAGGATCACAATTCTAGAGCCTGTTATTGTTTCAAAACCAAAAGTAAAAGTCAAGATTCTTTTAAAAAGATTCTATTCAGCTAGTGCATATCCACTACAACTTAAAAGATGGTGGGTAACCATACAAAGTAAATATATAACTATTAAAAATTATAAATTTTTCTCTATTCCATCTAAAATAGTCTCTTATTGAAGGGAAAGAAGGAGAAATTTTGTATGTATGTATATACAGGATAGTTAACATGGTTGTTCTTCTGTCTCCTATTTCTATGCTGAAAGAAACTGTCAATGAGTCTTTGGTTGACCAGTATTGCATGTTTATATCTGTTTTCATGAGAAGCCACTTTGAAGATATCAATATGTAATACAACCACCATTGTTAATTAATTCCCTACCACTTTGTTTGTAACTCTGTGTTGTCTGTATTGTGCTTGTGATATGTTGTAAAATGTTGTATGTCTGTTAATGTTTCCCTCCTTTTATCTTTAAAATAAAAAAAAATAAATAAACAAATAAAATAGTCTCATTATCAGTGTGCTGTGGGTATTTCTGATGCAGGCCAATCCTTGTATTTTAGATATCAGTATGTACAGTCACACAAAGTTTAGCAATTTATCCAAATTATCTGAGTTTCTAAAATAGGTTAAGAGTCATATTTCCCTAATATTGATCTGCATCAATCTTTGCAGAAGCTTTTGTTTCCTCATTAGTAGTGCTAAGTACAGTGTTTTCTACTTATGAACTTTTTTCTTAGTCCTCAAAATTTGTATGAAACAATACTACTTCAGAGGCTACAATGACCTTCTGCTCTTGATTTTATTGCATCAAATTCTAACTACCTTGTCTTTCAACACTTCCTCATAATTTGACTCCTCCTGTTTTTTCAGTGGTATCTCACTCTGTTTCCTAAGCAGACGCACATCTTTCATCAATGCAAGTTGCTATCCTCAAGCCATCTTACTTTTCCCATCCTCGTCAACAGGATTTGCCCATACTGTTAATCTCACACCAAATGGAGTTTATTCACAATCTTGCATTTCTCAGCCAAGTAAGGTTTTCTCATTTCTATTGCTCCATCATAGGAAAAAGCTTTCAAAATTAATAATCTCTTTAAATAAGAGTTTCAAGGTCTATCATTATCACTTTATCAATTATCACATTATCAATTATATCAATGTAAAATGTGCAGTCTGAATTGGAATACTAGCAGCTTCTAGAAGGGAAAAAAACTGTAAAATTGAACAAGTTTTCAGTTTCACCAGAACATTACTTTGTGCTGAGTTTGAACAGTCTGAAGTTTCTGTGGTGATAGTGTCTTTGTAATCCCTGAAAATAAGTTTTCTAACAACTCTTCAAATTCATGTCATTAAATTCTAAAAACTATACTGCACCTCCTTTTTGTCACAGGTTGGAGATACAGGATGAAAAAAGAAAATGTAGTCCTTACTTTTATCATTTATATTGAATTTAAAATCTGGTATGGAATCTGGACAGGAGGGCAATAATAAAAATAACTGACATTATTTAGCACTTAGTGTGTATCAAAGACATAGTTCAGTTTTTAGGCTAATATTTAAGAATTAGCAGCAAATCTGATCTCGAGCCCATTGTTTACTGAATTCAAATCCTAAGCTCTTAATACTTCCTTGAACTCTTTATGTGGTTTCTCTGAAGACAAGAGTGAGGAACTCCAGCAGAGATCGCCCTAATTAGGGACGCTCAGAGTATTTGGTTGCTGGTGTTTGAATCTGTACAGTGAGCAAGAACACTGGGGAATATTTAGTGGACAGATAGACTGGACAAAAATCAATGCTACCAGAGCTAGGATGACAAGAGTGGCTGAGACAACAAGGAACTGGGAATGAAATGGGCGTGCTGGTACAGAAAAGGTGTGTACACACATATGTAAAACAGGCTGTCCAAGTGCTGAGTCAAACCAGGTTGGCAAAGAGCAGGGCCAGGTCTACAGCCTGGTTGGTATTTATCTGGAAAAAAATGTGTCAAGCGATGTGTCAT